ACAGAGCACACATGGGGGAGGGGCAGAGAGAGGGAGACACAGAATATGAAGCAGGCTCCACTCTCAGCTGTCAGCACAGAGCCCGATGCGGGGCTCAAACTCACGAACTGTGAGATCATGACCTGAGCCGAAGTCGGAGGCTTAACCGACTGAGCCACCCAGGCGCCCCTCCCCTTTCCTTATTACAATATTATGACAGCTGGCAAAATAGGAATAAGGTCTATGTGTAGATTAGACAAGAATTTTGTACCAAAAGACACTGTTCTGCAAATACAACCCACAAAACAGAATCCTGTGGTAGCATACTGTGGCTTTGGAAATAAAGTAACAGGAAGACAGCCCATTGATTCCAGGCCTCATGCAGCACTGGAGAGTATACAAATTTGGAAAAAAAGAAAAGAAAAGAAAAACAAACGAATGCAGGATTATCATACCCAGTTCTGGGTTCCAATCCCAGCTCAGCCATGTCTGACTGAATAACACTGGACGAGCCACTGGACCTCTCAGATCTCATTCCCGTGAGATTTTTCTGGGGAACAAATCATGGCCTCCACTGGTAAGCTCGAGTGTATTCTATATGACTAGGACACAAATAAGTAACCTTTCGTTTAAAAATATTACTTCCATTTTCCTATCAATCAGTGTCATAAAATAATCCTAGAGGGGGTCCTGGCTGGTTCAGTCAATGGAGCATGGGACTCTTGATCTAGGGGTCAAAGCCTAGATCATGACCCTTGATCATGAGTTCAAGCCCCACATTAAGCGTGGAGTCTACAAGAAAGACAGACATAGAAAGACAGGACAGGACAAGAGAGGAAAGGAAGAAAGGAAAATATAATCCTTATTTAAAACAAAACAAAACAAAACAAAACAAAACAAAACAAAACATACCAATCTTAGACAACCCTCTCTTAGTTTTTATACTATTTCTCCTTAAAAATAACAATGAGTGATTGAAGTTAACAGGATAAATTATAAGCTGCTAAATTTCCTTCAAATTCCCATAACATCTTAGGATTCTATTAATTATTCCACAATAATACTGATGTTTAAATTCTCTGTATTTCCTCTTTTTGGCACTTCTGGTTTGCTTTGCATGAACTTTTGGAGCCCAAATGTCTTTGCATTTTAAATACCAGGAGTACATAAAAATAGCCATTTTGAATATGCAACACCCCTGGAATATTTCTACCCATAGGCACTTAAATATAGAACCTTTTATTTAGAGCGCTCACACTATGATTTTGCCTTATTATTCTAACAGCTCTGGAGTATAGGAATAAATCATATAAAAAGTGAGTAGTTGTGGGATGATGCCGGAATGCCTCCTAGTGGACAGCACGAAGCATTTCATTTTAAAAAAGGGTCGAGCCATGTTAATACACATGTCCACTGTTTACTTGCTAATCTGTGAAGAATGAAGTGCAATTTATAATGGATATGTGTGCTATAACGTCTCTGGCTTCCTAAGCAGAGCACTGTGACCACACCACGATCAAGGCTTTCCTTGGTGCCTTGGGTCCATGTCCTTGGCCCTTCGTAGGGTTTGATCATCTGCAAGCTTCACTTAACGCCCTAGTGTGCCTTATGAAGTTGGCTCTCCATCTTCATGGAGATTTTGACCATCAAAGGTATGATGATCAATGAAGGGTTTATGTAGCAACTTTATGGCACCCTTTTAAAATGAGTGATTCTTGGGGCGCCTGGGTGGCGCAGTCGGTTGAGCGTCCGACTTCAGCCAGGTCACGATCTCGCAGTCCGGGAGTTCGAGCCCCGCGTCAGGCTCTGGGCTGATGGCTCGGAGCCTGGAGCCTGTTTCCGATTCTGTGTCTCCCTCTCTCTCTGCCCCTCCCCCGTTCATGCTCTGTCTCTCTCTGTCCCAAAAATAAATAAACATTGAAAAAAAAAATAAATAAATAAATAAAATAAAATGAGTGATTCTTTTATTTGGCATTCTAACGTCTACCATATTTTCAGCCAACTCTCTTTTTATTTAAAAAAAAAATGTTATTTATTCATTTGAGAAAGTGAGAGAGTGCATGAGCTGGGGAGGGTCAGAGAGAGAGAATCCTAAGCAGGCTCCATGCTGCCAGCGCAGAGCCTGATGCAGGGCTCAAACTCACGAACTGTGAGATCATGAACCTGAGCTGAAATCAAGAGCCAGATGCTCAACCAACTGAGCCACCCAGATGCCCCAGTCATCTCTCTTTTTAAAAAACCACACAGGCAATTCTTTGCAAAAAATATTGGCTCTTTCACTAAAGACAAAAATGGCTGAAGTCATGGCCAGCATGTTCTACATAATTCACATTTCTTAGTGTTTCAATTTTGTGTTTTTAGGAAGAAAATGTCTGCATTCTTTTAGGATTCACAATTATCCATTTCTTGACGCTTTTCAGAATGGAGACACTATTGGCAAGGGGCCTTTTTCACTGAAGAGACCTGAGGAAAAGTGCTCTTTAACTGCAGGAATGTTGAGAGAGCATCATGGCACCAGTGTCCATCTGTCCCCTGAAGGTCTCCCTCTGTTGCTGCTTTGATCGCAATCTACTTGCCAGGTTTCATCTCTGCCACATTGGTTACGCGGAGGTATGGTTAGATGAGTAATCCTATGAAGAGAACTGGCTCTCATTTAGGGGCTAGAACCAAATACCACATGTTGTATAAGGACAATACTGACTTTTTTTTTGAGAGAGTGTGAGCAGGGGAGGGACAGAGAGGGGGAGGACAGAGGATCTGAAGTGGGTTCTGCGCTGACAGCAGCAAGGCCCAATGCAGGGCTTGAACTCATGAACTGTGAGACCATGCCCTGAGTCGCACTTGGATGCTCAATCGCCTGAGCCACCCAGGTGCCCCAAGAATACTGGCTTTAAAAAAAAGAAGAGTGCTCTTCAGCAAATGGTGCTGGGAAAACTGGACAGCGACATGCAGAAGAATGAACCTGGACCACTTTCTTACACCATACACAAAAATAAACTCTAAATGGGTGAAAGACCTAAACGTAAGACAGGAAGCCATCAAAATCCTTGAGGAGAAAGCAGGTAAAAACCTCTTTGACCTTACCCACAGCAACTTCTTACTCAACATGGTCTCTGGAAGCAAGGGAAACAAAAGCAAAAACTAACTACTGGGACCTCATCAAAATAAAAAGCTTCTGCACAGAGAAGGAAACAATCAGCAAAACTAAAAGGCAATCAATGGAATAGGAGAAGATTTGCAAATGACATATCAGATAAAGGGTTAGTATCCAAAATCTATAAAGAACTTGTCAAACTCAACACCCAAAAAACAAATAATCCAGTGAAGAAAAGGGCAAAAGATATGAATAGCTACTTCTCCAAAGAAGACATCCAGATGGAAAACAGACACATGAAAAAATGCCCAACATAACTCATCATCAGGGAAATGCAAATTAAAACCACAATGAGATACCACCTCACACCTGTCAGAATGGCTAAAAATAAATAACTCAGGCAACAAAAGATGTTGGCAAGGATGCAGAGAGGAGGAACCCTTTTGCACTGCTGGTGGGAAGGCAAACTGGTGCAGCCACTCTGGAAAACAGTATGGAGGTTCCTCAAAAAATTAAAAATAGAACTACCCTACGACGCAGCAATTGCACTACTAGGCATTTACCCAAGGGATACAGGTGTGTTGATTCAAAGGGGCACATGCACCCTGATGTTTATAGCAGTGATATCGATAATAGCCAAAGTATGGAAAGAGCCCAAATGTCCACTGATGGATGAATGGATAAAGAAGATGTGACATACATACATACATACATACATGCATACATACATACATACATACATACAGTGGAATACTACTCAGCGATGAAAAAGAAATGAAATCTTGCCATTTGCAACTACGTGGATAGAACTGGAGGTATTATGCTAAGTGAAATTAGTCAGAGAAAGACAAATATATGACTTTACTCACATGAGGAATTTAAGATGCAAAATAGATCAACATAAGGGAAGGGAAACAAAACTAAAATAAAAACTGGGAGGGGGAAAAACATAAGAAACTTTTAAATACAGAGAACAAACTCAGGGTTGCTGGAGGGATTGTGGGTGGGGGGGATGGGTTAAATGGGTAAGGTATTAAGGAAGACACTTGTTGGGGATGAATCACTGGAATCTACTCCTGAAATCATTATTGTTGTATATATGCTAACTTGGATGTAAATTAAAAAATAAAAATAAATAAAAATAAAAGTGGCAGTAAATCCAAGCCAATGAAAAGCTGGACCCATGCCTCTCAGAATGGGAAAAATAAAACATAAAAACAAGAAGACCAGAGGGAAGGCCAGGGAGGGAAATCAAGGGAGAGAAAAGTTATGGTGCACACTCGATTTACAGCCCAAAGAAAAATGACTTGTTTATAGTTCATTCCCCAAAGATTGGAGGATCTACTACTCCTAATAAAGAACAAAGAAAACTAGGACAACCTAACAGGTATTTTTTCTTGGGCAGAAGTGCCCAATTCTTGATTTTGGCTCAGGTCACGATTCCAGGGTCATGAGACCGAACCCTGCGTCAGGCTTCGAGCTAGGAGCCTGCTTAAGATTCTCTCTCTCTTCCTCTGCACAACCCCCCCCCCCCAAACATAGCACTTTGTAACTTTTTAAGGCTAATATGTCAGAAATGGTATATGGGACAACAACCATGAAAGACATTATTCCACTAATCACAACAAGTTTTTCAACATGTTAAACAGTCTGAAGAGTAAACTGGGTGAAGATAGCTTATTCTGATTCTGTTCTTGGTGGGGAAGGATGAAGAGTGAATGCATGCATAGCAAAAGAAGACAGTGAACATGAAACCCACAGCAGAAGATCCCACTGTTTGGGGATGTAATTCTCTCAATGACCTCTTGGGATTCTGGTTACTATTTTAAGGTTCTCCAGTGAAATGTTTCCCAGGAAAATTAGCTCTCAAGAAAGAGCTATGAGGCATTTTTTTTTTTTAACGTGAACAAAGACAGAACGTACATACTGCTTTACAACTGTTGGCTATCAGACTGGCAGTCTTCTTGAAGGTCTTTTCAAGGTAGTGTGCGAATCTCTCGTTCTCATTTTCTTTTGACCCTAGCTGAAGAAACTCGCCTATAAATAAAGAAAGGGGTAATTTGCGATACGGTTTGATTGCCTGGATAACTCTACTGAGACTGAATTAAAAAAGCAGCAGCGTCAGAATTAACCTACCACGCACCAAATCTTCAATAACTTGGGTTAAAATAGATATGACAGTTGTATTTCCGATCCGTGCCAGAGCTATAGATGCTGCAGAAAGAATTAGATCACCAGCGAGAACAGCCTAGAAAAGAAAAAAGAAAACAACTCAGAGAAAAGGATCGGAGCAGTGGAGCCAACAATGAAGCTGGCTCCTCAGAAGATAAATACAGAAAGGGAGGGAGGGTTCATCTTGGCCGTGAGTCTTCCCCTACCTCTTCCTCAGTAGGACTCTGCAATCGTCAGTTACAGATTCGGCACATAGTGGGAATGGGATCAGTTCCCAGAGGTTACCCAGTCTCTCCAATCAGAGCTGAGGAAGTGGATGCGTGGAGATGGACAGGGTCAAACTCTCTCGCTTCATCCCTGGGCCCCACCAGGGTACAGTTGTCCTCAGACTGGCCGTGCTGGACACTTGCTCTTCGCTCACACCGTGCTGTTGTGTCTGTGCACCTATCATTTCTCTACTCAGAAAGTCCTTCCCCTTCTTCACTGAGCTGACTCCTCTGCACAATTAACACAGAGGACACTTCTAGGAAGTCCACTTGGATCTGCATGAGAACAGCACCCCGTGCATACTGCAGTCTTCTCATTTTTCTTCAACTACTGATTCCCTATCCACCAACTCCTTGAGGGCACGGGCTGGGAATGATCTCAGCCAGCACTTGGCACACCCCAGCGCCTGGCATTTTTCTCAATGAAAACCAAACCAGGGAATCCTGGCTCCAAGTTCAATGCTCTTTGCACTGTATTACACTGCTCCTCATTCTTAGATAAAATTTTTTGTAGTGAACACTAGATAATCAATATTTTTTCCAATCTTCTTTAGAGTGGGAGTAGATGCCCATACTGTATTTGTAGCTTATTAAAAATTATATATAACTGAATTACAGGCTGTAATTAAACATACTCATTTTCATATTTAAAAATATGCCTACATTTTATGTTATAAATGGTTGATCTCATAGACATTTTAATTCATAGAATTTTCAACATAACCACATTTTAAGTTTTTATTGTCTTTTCTCTGGTACCTAAAATTATGTTCAGTATGTTTACCTATTTATCATTTTATAGAACATACTGTACAAGGGATCTCAACATACACATATACATTAACAAAGTCATCATATACATTATGACATATACGTGCACATATATGTCTATCCCTCGGCCACCCGTACATCATTTGCAGCTGGAGGGCTCAGGATCTCTAGGCTTTTACGTCTTTCCTCTCCTGGCCCTGGGGATCCCAGAGGCCAGAAGGTTCCAGCCTGTGAAAGTAAAGTCTCCAGACTGGGCACTGGGGAATGCTGGCTGAGGGGTTAAAGGAAAGAAGGGCTGGAACCCAGGCAGGGTACTGTGGGCTCCTGGAGCAGGTGCTGTGTGAATGGACTTTCAATGGACACACAGTACTTTTGGCTAAGAGGCGGTAAAGGGGAGGAGGCTTGCAGGCAGGCCTGTGTAAGGCAGACCAGTCACAGGCTGAAAGAGGCCCCCAACAGCAGAGATGATCACAGCGGGGACTAACTAGGCAGGGAAAAGGCCCGAATTTGTTGTTGGTAGTGGTGTTTTTTTTAAATTTTTATGTTTATTTTTGAGAGAGAGAGACACTGAGTGTGAATGGGAGAAGGGGAGAGGGAGAGGGAGACATAGAATCTGAAGCAGGCTCCAGGCTCCGACCTGTCAGCAGAGCCCGACGTGGGGCTCGAACTCACAAGCCGTGAGATCATGACGTGAGCCAAAGTCAGATGTATAACCTACTGAACCACCCAGGTGCCCCCAGGATTTGTTCTCTTAACTAAGGCTTTAGGGACAGGCCCTGAGAACAGTTGACTCAGGGACATGTCATAAATGTACCCATGACCTCTCCAAAATGAAACTGCACTCCCCCCCCTCCCCCCCTTTTTTAAAAAAAAAAAATTTTTTTTTCAACGTTTATTTATTTTTGGGACAGAGAGAGACAGAGCATGAACGGGGGAGGGGCAGAGAGAGAGGGAGACACAGAATCGGAAACAGGCTCCAGGCTCCGAGCCATCAGCCCAGAGCCCGACGCGGGGCTCGAACTCACGGACCGCAAGATCGTGACCTGGCTGAAGTCGGACGCTTAACCGACTGCGCCACCCAGGCGCCCCAACCCCCCCTTTTTTTAAAAACAACATTCTGATGTATGGAATTCTGCCCATAGGACACAAGACCTTCCAATTTAAAATTTGAAATAAAAGATTTATAAATGAGATCTCAGGACTCGATTACACAGCAAAGTCATGTACAAGAAAGCAAAACCAGCACGTGAAGGTAACAATTAATATATATTTCTTCTTTTTCATAGGGCAATTAGAAAATAGGAGGTAACCAGGTACTACAAATATGTGAGGGGAAGAAAAATAAATGTGTGAGGGAGGGGAAGGCGAGCCAAGGGAGACCTCGTTCACACTAATGTTTTATGTGTGCTTCAAACAGGCAAGGCGGCCACGGGAGGTGCGTGTGGAGGGGGCTGCCCGCATCACACGAAAGGCCTATACGTCTTCATGTTCATTTGTGCAGCTTCATTCCCATTCTTCAAACATGATTTAAACACCTTTAAGCAGAAGTCCCCATCGTATATACCCCTTCAAGAGATGCTGATAAAATACTATGGAAATATGCTTTAAAATATACATGTATGAACCAAACTCAATTATACAGCCCCTACAAAAGGTAGAATTTTCACAGTGTGTGTATATATCTTTCTACGTACCTATATTTAAAACAATATAATATTCACACACATATATTTTAGCTTTACTTAGTCACTTGTCATGACACTCTTGTACATGGCAGTCAATAAAGAATCAAACTGAATCTGGGTACTCTGAGCCCAGAAGTAAAATGTATGAATGCTCATGAAACATGCTTTTTGGATAACAACAAAAATCTCTTTGTCAATAACCAAAAGGAATTCTATGTAAAACTATGAATAACCAGAAATACTAAGTTCAGCTTTCTATGGTTTTCTCTATTAGCAAATGTCCGTACACAGACATGAATTCTATTTTGAAATTTGGAAGGCCGTATGTGAGGAAGCATACTTTACTTTTTAATGAGACAAATCTAAAAAATAAATGCAACCCAAAGAGTGTGTGGTTGGGTAAGAAGATTGAAAGGAAACTAAAACACCGTACCTTCTTTTCACCCCAGATCTTATTAACCGTGTGTTTTCCTCTCCGAGAACTTGCATCGTCAATGACATCGTCGTGTACCAGACTAGCAGTGTGGATCATTTCTGCAATTAAGGCTATGGAGCGCTGGTCTGCTTGCACGTCTCTAATTAACAGAAAGCAATGCTTTTTAACAGAGCCGCTGCCTATAACCTTCTCAGCAATCATCTTGTGAAAACTGGACATCCGATCTAGGATAAAGAGCTTTATTTCTCTAAGAGAAACTGTATAAACACTTTGGCTTCCCTACAAAGCCATTTCTACCATTTGGAGAACATTTTAAAAATGTGTGAGCTACCCTGCCGAGGCTATACTTTATAGACAGCACATTCAGAAGCAGAATTTGTATGATTAACAACAAAAAAGTTTAAACATCTCAGAAGTCTGGCCATGAGGCTGAAGAATCAGCTGTAGGCCCTAGAATCGTGGTCTTGGGCGTCTGGGGAAGCTCGTCAATTGTGATTAGGTTATAAGGAGATTTGGGGGCTTGGGGGGGGAGGGGAGACAGGTTAAGAAGCACTCTGAAAAAGTATTCTAAAGAACCAACGATCAGTATGTTTAAAGCTTTTAATATTGTCTTAAATGAAATGTTTAGGAAGAAGACCTCAAGCACCCAGATAGCATTTTTGTCGAAACGGTCTTCCAATTCATACTTCACCCTGGCATTAGAAATGGAAACTTTTCTTTCCCAGCTTTAACACAATATACAGGATAAGCATTGTCAAGAAGATACATGGCTATGAGTTTTAGAGTTCAAAGGGAATGTGCCCCTTTTTAATCATCATCATTATCACAATCATCATCTATGGGAATTTTTAAAAGCTGAATTTTGAGAAAATCAAATTCGGAAAATAACCAACTGAATTATCTGAAACCGAAAACATATGCCTGACTTAAATGCATGGTAACGAAATGTTTCACTTATTCAATAGCTTCTTACTTTTCAAAATGTCATCACGTTATCTCTTCAGGGGGCAAAAGAGAGAAGGATGTTGAAACAGAACTTTTTCTTTAAAGAAAATAATCTAGGCTGAACATCTGCAAAAGATAGTGCCTGTTCTAGAGCCTCACATTTAGCAGAAAGCTATGGAAAATGAGGCCCAAGTACATTAAAGATGCGGGTATTTAACTACAGACACTAAGTCAGCCTGAAGAGTACCTTCTGATCTTGCTTTAAATATAATTTTAAAATAGGGTGCTTTGCCGGCAACTCTCAGCTAAGATTTCAGAATTAAACCTCAGACCCTTCCAACTGCTTTTAGCCCAGAAATCAATTGCCAAGTGCAGCGCATTATTTATTAACCTGCCACAATCGTAACAGTTCTAAATACTTCCGGATCACACCACGGTCTTTCAAGGTGGGAGAAGTAAAGCAACGCGGGGTGGAGACCGGTTCTAACAACAGGACCGTAAATGAGAAAACAAAGGTTCCAATGGCTTCAAAGAGCTTGTTGTGAAACCCTTGATGGGACACTGCTCACAGGCGCTACGGTAGGAGGCTTGGACCTTAAATATCTTTTAGGTGAATGTACCGGACCCTACCTTGAGTTCAAATGTACAGGAAAAGAGGTAGACATTCACAGGTGTTTTGTATAAAGGCCATCTTTCAGATATTTTCACCATGGCATTTTGGTCTAATACACACTTCCTACTAGTTGGTAGAACTTACCTTGAAAAACAACTGTGAGGGCCTCTAGCCTTCCTTATGCTTTCCTAAGCTGGGCACCGCCTCCATTATCATAAACTCTGTCGGCAGACAGAGGTGTTCCTGCTGGGGAGTTGTGATGAAATGGCAGTGCTCACTGAAACACTGGAAATTTTGTAATTTCAAGATATTAAAGACAAAGGTGTCTTAAAATATTTTGAAATGTCAACGACTACATGTATACAGAAAGGCCATTTTACGTGGCTAAATTACTGACTATAATCAGGATTCTTTGTTAGAACGTTGTCTGGTATTGTGACACAGCCCATATGCAGAATAGACATTATTTCAGATGCTTTTTTTAAAAAAATGTTTATTTATTTTTGAGACCATGAGCAAGCAGGGGAGGGGCAGAGAGAGGGAGACAGAGAATCCCAAGCAGGCTCTGCACTCTGAGTGCAGAGCCTGAAGCTTGAAATCAAGAGTCAGACACATAAACAACAGCCACCCTCAGGTACCCCTGAGATGTTTTCTAATTGTATTTGATGTCCTTTTTCCTACACAACTAAGTTTTAATGTGTGCCAGCTTATATCCAGAAAATACTGCCACTGTCTGTCCATAGCACAGCATAATGGCTGGAACCAAAATTTACAGATTACAGAAAACTCTCACACTATCTGTAAGATGAAAGCTCCAAAGTGCCAAACTGAGTCATGCCTTCAGAAAGCTGGGCACCATTTCCACTTCTTACCATGACAGCTGACACATTCTCCTGGCTTCTGGGAGAGGTGCTGAGAAAAGCCAGACTGGCAAGACAGCCTGAGAAAAGGAGCCCCTTGGTCTGAAAGTTGGCTGTGTCCCCCATACTTCACACATGGCGGAGTATGCGATGATTCAGCAAGCCCGTTGGGATATTTGTTTTTTTTCCCCTTCATTAGATTTAAAGCAACATTTTTTATAATGGAATAGTTCAAGTGCAGACAAAAATAGATGGAGTCATAAAATGACACGCCCCACCCCCATGTACGCTTGACTCAGTTTACATGTGATTTAAATAAAATGGTTTTTTCCTATTCACACTAATACATAAAGTGAAATCTTAAATTATAAGTAAACCCTCAGTGTGGGAAAATTGTCTCTAAACAGAAATTCAAACCTTGTCAATTGATTACTTTGGTTCAGAATGAATGAGGCTAGCAAATTTAAATAGTAAATGTGATTCCACTTTAAAAGCAGATATACAGAAGTTTCTACTCCCAACTCTACAGAAGCTGTATAAAAACCAGAACTCTCAAGTGGTATTTTATACAGAAGGCTCTATTTCTATTATAAAATGTTCTTTTTGTCTAACAATTCTAAAAGTAAGTGTTTCCCTTTGCTTGTTAGAACTCTGACAAGCTTAGTGTTTCTTAAATATATAACCCTTGTCCACCATGTCAGAATCCATACTCTTGAAAATGCAGACTGAGGAGTCAAAATCTGACAATGGGGCTCAGGAATCTGTATTTGGAAAAAGCATGTCAGGAGATTCTGATGCGCAAAGTTTGAAAAATGCTGTTCTATCAGGTATTCATTTGATTTACCACAAGCCACAAATGGAAGCTTTCCTAGAGAAAGGGTTTTGTTTTTGGTAAAAACTCTGCCTTTGCTGGCCCACTGCTGCATTGCCTCTGAAACAAGAGGCCACTCTTTCCTAAACATGACCTGGAACTTGGCAGGGGGGCAGGGGGACAGGGAGCAGCTAATGACTCCTCAAGTCCCTTCAGAGAGCAGAATGGCTCACCGGCTCACATGCAAAATCACGGAGGATGACCTCTCCTCCCTCTTATACTCTGCATCATTATGAATTTGAAAGGACATGACTGGATGCTTTTTTAGTTTGGTCTGAAAAAACTCACTACTTAAAATGCAAGCAGAGTCCTTTGCTATCAAATTCTTCAGGAGGCAAACTGCATTTCCTAGTTACCTGATGAAAACACACATATTCAAGTTTTCAGCATGCTGAACAATATATCCATATAGACTCAGGTAAGATTTTCTCTTTCTCTGTCACTGAACTGACTTGCTATAAGCTGGAGTCCTTTGCCTATGAAGACTGTGGGATGTGTCCTGCTTTACCTCTGGTCTGCTCGTGTCAGAACTGGTGGACGCAGAAGAGGCACCTCCAGAAGGAGAGGGAAGCCCGTCTGGGCCCCTCCCTGAGCTGATGTGACATGATGTAATGATGGGGCCTGTGTTAGTTTCCTGTGGCTGCTGTGACACATTACCACAAACTTGGGTGTGGTTTTTTTTTTTTTTTTTAAGTTTATTTATTTTAAGAGAGAGAGTGCACACGGGAGGGGCAGAGAGCGAGAGAGAGAATCTCAAGCAGGCTCTGCACTGCCAGCACAGAGCCAGATGCGGGGCTGGAACTCACGAACTGTGAAATCATGACCTGAGCCGAAACCAAGAGGAGGACACTTAACCGAGTCAGCTAGGCACCCCCAAACTTGGTGGTTTAAATCAACAGAAAGTCTCTCATAGTACTGGAGGCCAGAACACAGTTCCACGGAGCACCCCTCCACCCCTTCCAGCCACGGGCAGCTGTCTGCAGACTTTGGCTTATGGCTCTGGGACTTCAATCTTCAAAATCTCTCTGCTCTACCTTCACACAGCCCTCTGTTCTGTGTGCATCAACCTCCCTCTGCTTTCCTCTTATAGGGAGACATGTGACTGCACGTAAGACTCATCAGATAATCCTGGATAACGTCCCCATTTCAAGATTCTTAACTAAATCCCTTCTGCAAAGACCCTTTCTTGCTACATGACGTAACACAGGCTCCAAGGATGAGGATGTGTATACCTTCGGTGCGGCCATTTTTCAGCCTAACAGTTTATTTTTTATTAAAAAAAAATTTTAATGTTTATTTTATTTTTGAGGGACAGAGACGGAGCACGAGCAGAAGAGGGGCATAGAGAGAGGGAGACACAGAATCTGAAACAGGCTCCAGGCTCTGAGCTGTCAGCACAGAGCCTGTGACGGGGCTTGAACCCACAAATCGTGAAATCATGACCTGAGCAGAAGTCAGAAGCTTAACTAACTAGGCCACCCAGGCACCCCCAGCCTAATGGTTTCTTACTTTCACTAGCCTCTTTTGCTGGTGCTCAAACATTTCCTTGTCAGGGATCAAATTCTTCAAATTACCTTTCACTGCACCTGTCTAAAATCTGCTTTTGTCCTCATAAGTGATACTACACTGAAGTGTCTCATCTTCCACAGAGACATTCAGGTAGAATGAGCAGGACTGCAGGGTTTCTGACCATCTCTCACTCTCTGCTTTTCATGCTTGGTGTCATCTTTCTGTTTCCTGGCCTCTGTCTCTGGCCTCTGCAATCTTGTTTCCTTTTCCTGTATTCCTTACAGGCATGTTGAGGATGCTATTGGCATGAACACCAAAGGTACTTTCCACCTAAAGAACAG